ATGCTGTGGATTTATTTTATATGCTGAAATTTTGCTGAAGTTATTAATTATTTCAACAATTTTTTAGTTTACTTTTTAGGGTTAGTTAGGTACACCATCATATAATCTGTTATTTATCTATGGCTATTCTCTTAATTTATTTTGATTGTCTATTAGGGAAGCATTCTAGTACTATGACAAACAGAATTGTAACAATGATTATCCTTCTTTTACTCTTGAATTTACTGAAAAGGATTCTAGTTATTTCCATTACTAGAGAAGCTCTTGGTTATATATGCAGGCTATTCTGCTATAACATGACATATATTTCCCAAAAAACCACCAAGTTATGCAAAATCTTGCAATATAAACCACGGGGGTTATGGGAGAAGTGGAGTTAGGGGCACATTACTCAAAAACTTCCATCACTGACACATATAAAAAAGATAGGAACCTAATAAAAAAAGTAGTACCATTTAATACATCTTAAATGGTTAAGAAATATATAAATACTACATTAAATAGCAGTAAAGTCCACCGCCTCTGGCTGCTGCTTAGCCTATGCCTCAGGTTGCAGAAGCAAGTTGGGCAGGCTGTGCCCCTGGATCTCTGGGCTAAAGAATTCAGTGAAAGGGAGTAAAGCGGGGGGGAAGTGGTAAGGAGCTGTCCTTCTCCACTCCAAGTTCCTATTGCACCAGACGATGTGCAATATGGCCCTTTATCTTGAAAAATACCTGGTTTGCTTGTGGAAGTAGGCAGCAGAAAGGTTGTAGATCATGAATTATAAGGGGGAGACAATTTTCTGCCTTCTTGTTGTTTCTCATGGAAAAAAAATAGCTCAAAAACAAACTCAAATATGAGTTATTTGGTTTTTGAAACACACATTACAATAGAACTGCATATATGTGTTTCTACACATGTGTATATACAAAGCAAACACAAAGGTAAATTTACTTATACACATATGTGTATACATAATATATGTGCTATTTATTATTTTAATGAAATGTCCATTTATTTCTGTTTTCTAGTGTTTTTAAACAGAAATAAGTGTCATATTTTAGTAAAAGTTTTTCTGTATCTATCGATACAATCATATGATTTTATTTTGTTATTAGTATGCTTATAATTTTCCTAATATTAAACAATACTGCATTCCCGGTATAAATCTAACCCGGTTATAGTATGGAATCTTGGTGAAATGTTGTTTTACTCTCTTTGTCAATATTTCATTTAATTTTATTGGTTTAAAAGTTGCTTATATTAATAATTTAAGTTACTAAATACCTGTCAAACATTTATTTAAATAAAACTATTTTATTTAATTTGTTGGTTATTTAAATTTTATGTTCATTAGAAATCTGGTTTATAACTTTTTTTTTTTTTTTTTTTTACTACTTTGATCTTCCCTAGTTTATGCATCAAGGACATATCTGTGTCATAGAAGGAAAGACCATCCACCTCCTTAGGATTAGATACTATATTTTTTAATGCACCCCAAGATCTCATTAGCTTTTTGAAGATGCCCTGTAATGCTGTTGATTCATATGAATCTAGCATTCTATCAGTTTTAAATACCTAAATCTTTTTGGATGAATTATTCATCTATTTTATAACCCCCTTTAAAATGTAAGCTCCTTGATGTTGGGAATTTTTTATTTTTGCCTACGAATCCCTAATGAAAAGCATGATCCCTTTGGCCTACTGGAATAGTTACAAATGCTTTTTCAATGAATGAAGCCAGATCAGTTGCATTTCACATGTAAAACTGATTTTTTTTTTTGCCAACAGGAGGGGCAAAGGGAGGAAATAAACATTTATATACAACCTACTGTGTGCTAGGCAATGGGGCAAAATGCTTTTACAAATGTTATCTTCATTTGATCCCTGGAGTAGGTGCTATTATTATCTGTATTTTAGTGATGAGAAAACTAAGGCAAACAGAGGCTAAGAGATTTGCCCAGGGTCATAGAGCTAATAAGTGTCTGATGACAGATTTGAATGCAGGTCTTCATGACTCCAGCCACTGTACCATACTAGCTGCCTCAGGAAGCCTACTATTAGTATTATAGTATGTGTATATAATTTACAAACAAATATACATACATTGGAAGCACAAGTTTGGAGACAAATACTCTAGATTATCAGGAAGAATTAAATATTTCTTTTAAAACTGAAGGGCTTCAGTGAGAAAACAAAGAAGGAAAAGCATCTGATTAGTCAACCTAAGAACTCAGGAAAGATTATTACATTTAAGAGTCTAGAGGGTAGAATTTTAGACAAAGCAGGAAGGGAAGAAGGACCACTGAATACTTGGTAGTAAGAATCAGTTGTGAGGCTCTTCTAGAAGAGGAAGGAGTTGGATCTTTTAAAGATGCTGCTGGTCCTCCGAGGAATGATGATCTGTGACATTTCAGGTAACAGTTATTTTTTGAACTGAGAGCACAAGAAGAGATCAGTAGTAGTGGTTGATGATGCCTTGCTGAAGAATATAGAGGTATTTAGTTTTTACCTGATAATATCTAATATATAACAAATCTTCTAATACTGTCAAACTAGAGAACTACCTACTTCTGATGATCCATGTGTAACAACCCCTCTGTGACCATTCAGCCAACCTATGCTCACCCTCTAAATTTGGGTGTTCCCAATAAGCAACTCTCCTCAAGATTCTAGGGATAACCCTAATGGAATAGGTTTCTAGTATTCTTGCTCATGAGCCCCCACCAGCAAATTTCTCATTTATTGTCAGCCAGTAGCATAAATTAGCTTTTAGACAAGAGTAGTTTCTGAGGACATATAGCAAGAATAGTAGTTACAAAAACATTTTTACCAAACCAGAGCATACTCCTCCTTGAACACAGTAGGTTCTTATGAAGAGTTAGTTCATATTTAGAGTATGTTGGCAATGAGTCACATGTAGAATATACATATGACCAAAAAGTAAACTCACAGCTTGTGGTTACTAGAAGTCCTTCTAGCCCTTCACATGGTCCTCATGAAGTTCCTGGTTATGCTTCTGTTGAATCCATACCCAGCACTTCTTTGCTATGAGAGTTCTCACCCCCTGAAGCTATTGGCATCTTCAGGTAATTGTTTTTCCACATCTGGCTGCAAGTAGTTTCTGTGTCATCAGTCACTATTTTAGCAGCCACTGCTATCACCACTAGTCACTGGTACAACCTCTGATGGGATCTCTGGCTCCACTAAACTTATTAAAGTAGGTATTCCCATCTCAGAATATAAATAGAAAAGATTAAGGAAACACAAAATAAACAGAGGCAGCATTCACTCATATACACTTGGTGACTAAGTGGAAAACAAGGCAGCTGCCCTTCTACTTTGTCTCCCTTGGGGCATCAGCCCTGAAGCTTACAGCCTCTTTAATAGGAGACAGGAAAACAGAGTTGCAGCCTCTCATTTTCTCAAGGGACCTTCTCTTTATCTTTGATATATCTCTTTCTGCTTCAAGGTGGGTGTGTTGTTTCCTACTGTTGCAGTTTATCTCATAACATGGTCTGTGGGGAGGAAGGAGGAAAAAGATCCCCTTTCCCAAGGTAAATCTCTCTCTTGGCCTTGGCTCCAACCAATGCACCACTTGACTAACCTACTGCTTGACTGACTTGCTATTTTTATATGTAGCCAAACTAGTATGACTTGATCTTACCAATGAATCACAAGATATTTCCTGTATTATATATAACCTGCCTTTCATCCAACTGCCTGTAGTCCTACAGTCATTTTGAATTGATTAAAAGCTTGTCCACACATTGTCATAAGGTTATAGGAAAGTTCTTTAATACTTATTTGAAACTGTTGATTGACTAAATGATGGACTGGGATGGGGTTTGAACCCCAGCTTTATAAATGAAATGTGTATGTAATTTGAAAGAAAACTAGAATGGATTGATGATGATTAAATTCTTGAAAAGGAAATTGAACATTTTACGTTTCATCCCTGCTACTCAAAGGCAAAGACTTCCAAGAAAAAAAGGCAAATTAGGGAAATGAAATGCTAGCCAAGAAACTGGTGGGGCCAAGAATGGTATTTGGGATTTCTGGACCATGTTTACACTGCAAGAATGATAGACTCTTGATCAGAGGTGGATTAGATAGCTAGTCAGCACAGTGTATAAAATGCTAGACTTGGAGTCAGGAAGACCTGAATTCAGATCCTGAATTAGATACTTAGCTATGTAACTCTAGGAATGCCATTAAACGTCTCTCAGCCTCAGTTTTCTCATCTGCAAAATGAGGATAATAACACCTACCTCTCAGGGTTATAGTGAGACAATATTTGTAAAGCACTTTGCAAACCTTAAAGTATTATATAAATGCTGGTTATCATCATCATCATCATCATCATCATTACTAAGATAATTTAATTAATGTTCTTAAGATTCAGAAGACAGAAGTCAATAAAAGTTAAAAAAATGAACTTTAAGAAAGTATATTTTACTAAGTTTAAGTTACTGTTAGGAAGCCAGAATAGCTTTGCATGCTAAAGAAAAACTACAACCATCTACAAGGAGATCTAGGTAGATAACAAGAAACCAATCTCACTAAAGATAGAAATCTATACAAAAGATGAAAAGAAAATGGGAAAAATACACTAAGAATGGAAATTAAGCCAGTAAAACATCTTCAAATATATTAGACAAAAGAAGAGGATGCAAAAATAGTTTGCCACCATGATAGTCAGGAAGAGAAAACTGGTAGCAACTCAATCAATATGTGTTGAATGGAATTGACTTGTTGAATTGCAAAGTAATTAAGAGAAGGCAGTAGAAAAAGGCTGAGGTTTGTAATGTCTTCTTCACTTTTGTCTTTCCAGAAAAAAATGCTGTAAATAGTTGATTGGAGCAAGTCATGACCATTAAGGAAGCTTAGAAAACCTAACCAATAAAGGAAAGCTAAAATTCAACAGTGCCCAGAGAAATTGGATGTATTCAAATCAACAGAAGAGATAATAGGCTTCCTATGATACTAAATGAATTGAAAGTTATCATTGCAAGGGTATTAGCCATTACTTTTGCTTCACAAATTTGTGTGTCATCCTTGTGCTAGAGCCATGACCATCTTCACTATATCATTACAATTTTAGTATATCTGCTGTGAAAGCAAACACATAACCATTATTTTTGGAAAAATTCACAAAGGCTTGGAAAAGAGGAAATATTGTGGCCATTAAAAAAGGCAATGTAGTTGTCTGGGAAGATTTTTAAAAGTCCAGATTATTTTTAGTCTTCTAGCTTGAATATGGACACTATGAAGAAATAAACATGACTTTCTGCATAACTAGACCAACAATTTATTCTTTGATAGAAATGCTAGGGCATGTACAGAAGATGGAAGTAGAAACATTCTATACCAATTTCAATCTGGATTTTCCTTTGTTTCCATATAACATTTTTGTTGACATGATTAGACCTTCATTGACATTGTCTATACTGTTGCTAGGTAGATAAATGCCTCATTTAAAGACTGTCGTCAAGTCAAAGATTCCATTTGTCATATCATCAGTAAATTATCTTATCAAGTGATTTCTCTTTACAATTGATTCCAAGGCCCATCTATTCAATATCTTCATAGTTTAAGGCACAAATCTGTATTTCAAATACAGTTTTTAATTCTGCTAAGTCCATAATAGTCATTTAATTAACAATTGTTGAATTGAATTAAATACTCCAAAGTATCTGTGATTTAATTTGCTGTGGATATTCCCTATATTCACATAGATTATGACCCCTCTATGTCCTTAAAATTGGTCTTAATGATGAGCTTTGTTTAAAAGAAATCTACCAATGGCTAACCATTTAGCAATGAACTTCTCTGACTTTGGAAATCTTTATAAGTAAACAAGTCTGGTAGAAAATTTTTAGAAGCCTAGTTTGGTAGAACTTGCTAGAGATCTTGATATGCTAACAGATAAAAGAATCCAAGTCTCTTCCATACCATGAGAACATTTGTAAAAGGATCAGATCTGTGAAATGATACTAAATAACCTTATTGGTCCAAATATAGGTTGCACATTTACACAAACTGCATAAAACTATGATTTTCACTTATACTTAGACATTTTTTTCTGTGTACGCTGACAGTGAGAGAGACAGAGACAGAGAAAAGGACAGAAAGGGACAAGTGGAGGGGTGGAGACAGACACACAGTGTAGCATAATGAATAGAAGACCATCCTTAAAGTCAGGAAAACTTGAGTTCAACACCTTCTTCACAATAGCTGTTTGACCGGGGGTAAGCAATTTTGCCCTCAAAGACTTTAAGTGATAGATGGATTATAATGTGCATCAGTGGAGTGAGTTTTTACATTCAGCATTTTCACACTGATGCAATCAAATATCTTTTACGTATTGACAGTGTACATATACACACACCCACAACCTCCACAAAATTCCTACTCTACTTTTTTAATAGTATTTTATTTTTCCCCAAGTTATATGTCAAAAAAAATTTTAGCATTCAATTTTACAAGATTTTGAGTTCCAATTTTCCTTTCCCTCCCTTACTCCCCTCCCATCTTCTGAAAATGGTAGGCAGTTTGATATAGTTTATCTATGTGCTATCATGTAAAACATACTTCCATATTAGTCACAGTTCTGAAAGAAGAAGCAGATCAAAAGAAAAAAAAGAGAATAAAGTGAGAAAAATATGCTTCAATCTGCATTCAGAGTCCATAAGTTCTATATCTGGATATGGATAGTATTTTCCTTCATGAATCTTGTGTACTTGTCTTGGATTAATATATTGTTGAGAAGAGCTGAGTCATTCATAGCTGATCATCACACAACGTGTACAATGTTCTCTTGGTTCTGCTCTTTTCACTTTGTATCAGTTCTTACAAGTCTTTACAGGGCTTTGTTTTGTTTTGTTTTTCTGAATCTACCTGTTACTCATTTCTTACTATACAACACTATTCCATTACATTCAGATACCACAGCTTATTCAGCCATTCCCCAATTGATGGGCATACCCTCAGTTTCCAATATTTTTTCCCATCACAAAAAGGGCTGCTATAAATATAAATTGCACATATAGGTCCTTTTCCCTTTTTCATGATCTCCTTGGGATATAGACCTAGTAGTATCAGATTGGATCAGTTGACAATTCCACAAATAGTGCACCCCTCCACTTGTCCCTTTCTGTCCTTTTCTCTGTCTCTGTCTCTCTCACTGTCAGCGTACACAGAAAAAAATGTCTAAGTATAAGTGAAAATCATAGTTTTATGCAGTTTGTGTAAATGTGCAACCTATATTTGGACCAATAAGGTTATTTAGTATCATTTCACAGATCTGATCCTTTTACAAATGTTCTCATGGTATGGAAGAGACTTGGATTCTTTTATCTGTTAGCATATCAAGATCTCTAGCAGGTTCTACCAAACTAGGCTTCTAAAAATTTTCTACCAGACTTGTTTACTTATAAAGATTTCCAAAGTCAGAGAAGTTCATTGCTAAATGGTTAGCCATTGGTAGATTTCTTTTAAACAAAGCTCATCATTAAGACCAATTTTAAGGACATAGAGGGGTCATAATCTATGTGAATATAGGGAATATCCACAGCAAATTAAATCACAGATACTTTGGAGTATTAAATTCCCACATCCTCTCCAATCCTTATCATTTTCCTTTTTTGTCATATTAGCCAATCTGATAGGTGCGAGGTGGTATCTTAGAGTTGTTTTAATTTGCATTTCTCTCTAATCAAAAGTGATTTAGAACATTAGAGCATGTCTTCATATGCCTATTGATAACTTTGATTTCTTCATCTGAAAAATATCTATTCATAACCTTTCGCCATTTATCAATCCTTCTGTGACCATTGTACTTAATTTTTTTATGTCATTCCCTCAAATTCACCTTATGCCCTCTATCTATGTATATTCCTTCTAGGTATACTATTAGTGATACATTTTTTAAAGAATTACAAGCATCGTCTTCCCATAAACAGATTAGCTCTATTGAATCCCTTATTTTTTTCCCTTTTTACCTATTTATGCTTCTCTTGGGTCTTGATATTAGAGGTCAAATTTTTGGTTTAGTTCTGGTCTTCTCTTTATGAAAGCTTGAAATCCTTCAATTTCATCAAAGGACCACTTTCTCCTTTGATATATTATGCTTAATTTTGCTAGGTAAGTCCTAGCTCCTTTGCTTTCTGGAATATCATGTTCCATGACCTCCAATTCTTTAATGTTGCAGCTGCCAAATCCTGTGTAATCCTGATTGTGGTTCCCCAATATTTGAATTGTAGTATTTTTCCTTGACCTGATAGTTCTGAAATTTGGCTAAAATTTTCCTTAGAGTTTCTGTTTTGAGATCTCTTCCCTGAGGTGATCAGTGGATTCTTTAAATGCCTATTTTGCCCTCTGGTTGCAGGACATCAGGGCATTTTTCCTTGATAATTTCTTGAAAGATTCTGTCCAGGTCCTCCTTTTGATTATGGCTTTCAGGTAGTCCAATGATTCTGATAATCTCTCTCCTGGTTCTATTTTTCACGTCAGTTGTCTTTCTGACAAGGTATTTTACATTTTCTTCCATTTTTTCATTCTTTTGAATTTGTTTGATTCATGATGTCTAATAGAGTCATTAGCTTCCACTTGCCCAATTCTAACTTTTAAGGTGTTATTTTCCTCAATTAGTTTTTGTACTTTCTTTTTCATGTAGCCAGCTGTACTCTTTAAGGTGTTGTTTTCTTCAGTGGATTTTTGTATCTCCTTTTCCATTTGGCCGATTCTACTTTTTAGGCAGTTTTCCAAGCTGTTGACTCTATATCATAATTCTCTTTGATCACTCTCATTTCTTTTCCCAATTTTTCTTTTACCTCTCTTAAATGATTTTTAAGCTCCTTTTTGAGCTCTTCCATGAGTTCTTTCTGGGCTTGCAACCACTTCCTGTTTTAATTTGGTGTTTTGCCCATAGGTGTTTTAACACTGTTGTCCTCTGAGTTTGTGTCTTGGTCTTCCCTGTCACCATTAATAATTTTATATGGTCAGATTTTTTTGTTCTTTGCTTATCTTTTTTGGCCTTTTTCCTTTTTTTTTAATTTAAGCTTTGCTCCCAGGGTGGAAGGGCACTGTCTCAGGCTTCTTGTGCTGGGGGTTGCATGCCCTGCCTATTTACCTGGTGCTGTACTGATGTTGCCCTGAGGCTCACAGAGGATTCTCATGTCTAGTGCTGCACCGAGGGGGTAGGGTGGGGCTTAGATGGAGCTGCTGGAGGCCATAGGGGTCTGACAGCTTACCTGATGCTGAGCTAAGGTCACAGTGGTTGTGTCAGGCTGAGGCTTGGCAGGGTGTTCTGAATAACACTGAAGCATGTGGGGCCTGGCCTCTGGAGGCTTCCTGTTTGCCCAGAGCTGTGCTGAAGCACATAGACATTTGGCCACTACAGGTTGACTGCCTGCTGGAGTTGCACTGAAGCATGTGATGGTTCTCAGAGCTGGAGTCTGCGGGTTCTCCTGGCTATGCTAAGGCAGTGAGAGGTCCTGATGTTGGTGTTTGCCTGTTCTGCCACACTTGGAGCTCAGGATCTTCTGCTGCTTTGCTGGCTTGTTGGGACACTTCATGTTCTGGACTTCACTCCCCTTTTACCCAAGTGAGCTGGACCTTTCTTGCCGATCTTCCAGGTTTCTTGGGCAGAAAAGATTGTTTCACCCTGTCTTTTTGCTGGTTCTGCTATTCCAGGATTTGTTTTGGAGTACCATTTTATGGTTGTTGGGAGGTGACCATGGGTGAGTTACAGTGATATACTGCTTACTCTTCCATCCTGGCTCCCAGAAGTCTAGTCTAGTGTTGTCATGGAGGCAATCCTGAGTTCAGGTTACTGCACTGAAGGGGAAGCGGTGAGAGGTCCAATCAAGTTAAAAGGATGTCAGCCAAGGACCCAACAACAGCCTGTCATCCCTGTTGCATTTAGTGTGTATCTGTTTTGCATGTCCTAATTTATAGTACAGGTGTCTTCCTTAGTAGAATGTGAACTTCTTGAGGGGACTTTCCTTTACATCTTTGCATTCCTCACTTAGCTCAGGGCCTGGCCAATAATAGGTGCCTAATAAATGCTTGTTGATTAACCAATTATCATCTAAAGACCAGCTCAGAGAAATTCCAAGAGG